ATCAATCAATACTTCATACCCAGTGTCTGTAAAACATTTCTAATTGTTCCCATTCAGTTTTCTCACTTTTAACTGTAAGCCACTCAGCTGGAGTAAACTGTTTTCTCATAAGTTGAAAGAAACCAGGAACGTCTGTGCCGCTGGGATAAACTGTCTTCATTACATCAATACCAACTGTGAATTGATATCACGACACCATCAGGTTAATATCAATTAATATTTATTACTATTATTCAATATATAAATCAATACCTTGTCTGCATTGCTCAGCTGCTAGAACTGTAAAATCTCCCTGTAAAACAATACATCTCAAACACTGTCTTGCAAAAAAAAACACAGCACTTTCAAGCAGTAACCTTGCTGTTGCATGATGGCAATGTGCTTGTAAATCATTATTTTCATTTGGCATCACTAGAAGGTGAGGTTCTGTTTTGAGGCTATTAAATTTTTTCTACACTCAGCAACCTTTTCAAGATGGACCATGTAAAGTGGGATATTACACTAATTTGTTTATCATTCATTCCAAAGCTCTAGACACTACCGATAATTGAAAAATGTTAGGAAACTAGCAATGAATACCTGGTGTGAGATATTAAAGCTAAAAGATTTTAATCTTGGATCTGTTACTTGATTTTCCTGGAACAAGCCAATAAAAGAAAGAAGATAAGGGTGTTGATTTATATTTCTAGTACTGTCAATTCAAGAAACACAGGAATCCCAAGTTATTGTAGGTGTCAAATACTTGTGATCGATTCTTACGAGAACTGGCTTCCCTTTCTCTGTTCTACCAAGCTTCACGTCACTATACGGTATTGCCATCACATCTGAGATTACTTTCCTGAGAAGAAGTCTTCCTATCTGCAACAGCAAGAAATTCTCATCTACCGTAAATCTTAGTAGGGAGGGGGTTAAGTTAAGCTTATATTAATTCTATAGTTCTTTAAAAACRTACCAATGAAGACTTGGCGTCTTTTTTGAAGACAAATTTTTGTATTCTTTCCTTTTCCTCTGGTTGGACGCACGATAAAGCCTTCAGCCATTCCTAAATAACAAAAGAAATTMTGCATTTCCTTGTGCTATAAACACATCGTCAGTGATAAGCTACACGTAAGTCAAGCTTGCACAGATCTGACATACTTGTTTCGTTGGCTTCCAAGCTTCAGACTTATATGCCCATCGGATTCCCCCAATCATAGCGGAACGCATCTAAATACATCTAATCTTTATTCTACCTTTTTAAGTGCTCATTACTTTACAAAACCGCGCTTTGCGCTTACAGGTCCTGCAGAGCTCTTCTCGTCCGCCATCTTTGTTTGCGTGATAAAACCGCTGGCTGGTCTATTGCAGACTCAGTAACATCTATTTCAGGAAGAAATGGATAGGTTTTCGTGGTGTTCGGGCTCAAATTTGTCCGTTTTTCCAGGGGAAACAGGAGTACATCAACAAGAAGGTGTAAGAATATACGATGGGGAAAATAAGGTACGCAATAAACTCCAATTTGAGGAGAAAATAGGCTTGTGTGCAGAATTTTTATCTGTGGCAAATACATTTTAAAAATACTACCTTTGATTTTAGACAACGTTTGAAAATGGACTACTGAAGCTAACGACACATCGTATTTTATGGGATGACGTCAATCAGCAGGTAATATGTCTTATATTATTGACGCAAATCTGATAATAAAGGTAAATGCCACAGG